TTATCAGGAAAGTCTTCAGGCTCAAACAGTGTCGTTGGCCCCCGGTTTACACCAACAAGAACAATGGCTCCTGCCTGCTATTTTGTCACAAGTATTGACAAACCACGCTCCCGCCCGAGACTTCCTCGCATTGTTTTCAGGAATCGCGCTCACGCCTGGGACTTCTTCACAATTTATTCAGGAATCGCTCTCTCGGCGCTCTGGAGTCGCGTTTTCGTTGGAGACTTGTTTGCAATTTGCTTAAGGAAAGCGCCCTGGCGTTGACATTTCCAGCAATTTACTCAAGCGCCGCGTTCCCGACACTCAGGCAACCAGGAGTCGCGCTCACGCAAATGATTTTCTCACAGATTTACTTGGGGATCACATCGGGATATCACTGCCTTTCGTGGCCCCCTCGCTGCCTTTCGTGGCCTCCTCGCTGCCCGTCGTGGCCCCGTTGCACCCCGTCGTGGCCCCCAAGCTGCCCGTCGTGGCCCCGTCGAAGCCCTTCGTGGCCGCGTTGCAGCCCGTCGTGGCCCCCAAGCTGCCCGCCGTGGCCCCGTTGCACCCCTTCGTGGCCCCCTCGCTGCCCTTCGCGGCCCCGTTGCAGCCCTTCGTGGCCCCCAAGCTGCCCGTCGTGGCCTCGTTGCAGCCCTTCGTGGCCCCGTCGCTGCCCGTCGTGGCCCCCTCGCTGCCCTTCGTGGCCCCGTTGCAACCCTTCGTGGCCCCCTCGTTGCCCCTCGTGGCCCGATTGCAGCCCCTCGTGGCCCACTCGTTGTCCTTCCGGGCCCCGTTGGAGCCCTTCCTGGCCCCCTCGCTGCCCGTCGTGGTCCCGTTGCACCCCTTCGTGGCCCCTTCGCTGCCCTTCGCGGCCCCATATATGCATAGCCTTCGTGGCCCCCACTCGTTCGCGCCCGTCGTGGCCCCATATGCGTGCCCTTCGTGGCCCCGCCGTCGCCCTTCGTGGCCCCTTCGCTGCCCTTCGTGGCCCCGTTCCTGCCTTCAGTGGCCCCGTCCTTGCCTTCCGCGGCCCAATATACATACGCATGCCCGTCGTGGCCCCTGCTTGTTCGCGCCCGTCGTGGCCCCATGTGCATGCCCTTCGTGGCCCCGCCGTCGCCCTTGGTGGCCCCCTCGCTGTCTTGCGTGGCCCAGATGCTACCCTCAGTTGCCCCGTCGTTGCCTTCTGTGGCCCCGCATTATCTGCCCTTCGTAGCCCCCGCTCGTTCGGGCCTTTCGTGGCCCCATACGCATTCCCTTCGTGTCCCCGCCATCGTCCTTCGTGGCCTACTTCGTGCCCTTCATGGCCCTGCTGTCGTTCTCTCTCTCGCTTTCGCTCGTCGCCGTCGTCGTCGTCGTCGACGTCGTCGTCGTTGTCGTCGTCGTGGTCGGTTCCGTGTCCGTCCCTCTTGGGGTCGGGTTGCCGCCGATCATCGCCACCGCTGGCCAGGCCGACGGTCCGCGGCCTGCAGGGAAGAAAGGTATACCACCCAAAAGGGGCACGATCGAAGACGAAGAGGGCCGGTATCGAGGGTTTGGGAAATACGCGTTAACGGACATTCGAGCAGATAAGAGCGAACAGTCCTAACATGAGTGTTGTTGGTGGTGGTGGTGGTGTTTTCCATCCTTTGGGCCAAGACTCGTATTGCTCGCTCGGCCCAAGATCGCTTGAGGCACGTGCATCCACATCTTTCGAATAATAGCACGCAGCGACACTAAGCGCAGCGTTGTACCGTGTGGGAATACTAATACTAATAAGTCTTTCGCAGCCGTGAGCGTTGTTCCCCTCCCTCCACTCCCTGATCGAAAGAGATGACGGGGTGGGCCCGTCGACTTCTGGGGTTTACATTACTTCAGCACCCTGGGGCCTGACCCCCCCGCCCAGCAGGACGGTGCCGTGTCTGGGCTCTCCACCCTGAAGCTGTTTTCGTTTGGCATGTTTTCATGGGGCCGTGGATTCTCGACGAAGGGGCTCGTGTTTTGGATGGACGATCTGGTGTCCATGGCTCGACCGTGCTGTCGGGACGAGATGGTGGCTGTTTCGACTATTTCGACTGTTGCTGGGTTTTCCTGTGTTCATGTTGCGATTGTTTCTTGTGTCCATCTTTCGTGATGGACGTTTTTTGCGTCCATTTTCGCTGCTCCCTCAAAACGACAGGACGGCTGCCCGCTTGCACAGGCTTCAGGAGAGGGAATCGGCAGCACAGGCTGCAGCGGCCTCATCCTCAGCAGGCACGGGATAGCCCGCCACAGTTTGGCCCCAACGGGATCGCCGACGGAAGCAATACATCCTTACGTGAGCAGCCCGGTGCCTCATCGGAAGTTTCTTGGAGGCGGCATTCGGGGGCGTCCTGGGGCCTCTCAGGGGCCTTTGGTGGGCCTCTTGGGGCCTGATGTGGGACCCTTGGGGACGTCCCGGGGGGCTTGGGGCGCAAAGGGGGCCTGGTGGATTTTATGTGTGTGTTTTTTTGCCAGCTCCGCACTGGATGAGTAGACGGGCTTTCGGCTCTCTGAGGATTTCATGATTCTCTCTCTCTCTCTCTCTCTCCCTCTCTGCGGCGCCTACAGATCGGATCCCTTTGTGGAGGGACTGGCCGTCCTGGGGGAAGGTCCCAGCAACAAAAAAAACGCCCCCCGAATCCACTGCTCCAGTTGTTTTTTCTTTTTTCCTGACCCGCCCGACAAAAAAACGGGGCCCGTGCAGCAGTGGGCGTTTTTTTGTTCCTGGGACCTTTCCCCCAGGGCCCAGCCCCCTGAGGCAGCCGGCAGCGCCAGAGTCCGTCGGCAGCACCTCCTCCTGCTCCTCCGAGGGCCCTGAGCGAGGAGGCAAGCCCGTGGGCGTCGGCAGCACCTCGTCCGCCGCCTCCTCTCCCTGCTCCTCGCTCTCCTTGTCCTCCTTTCCCTCTCCTGCAGCACCTCCTCGTTCTCCGAATTCCTCTCCTCAGATTCCTCTTTTCCCTTGGTCCTCATCGTCTCCCCCCTCCTCCTTCCCACTTCTCCTCCACCCTCGGACCACTTTCGGGTTTTAGATCGGGGCGGAACGTTCTCGGAAAGGCGCAGCTGCTGAAGAGGTGTTCGACCGAATGCTGAACACCATACTTCTCATCAGCATCGTCATCAGCATCATCATCGAGAGCATCTTCAGAAACATAGTTGTCATCATCATCTTCATGGGTACTCTCTCAAAACACATGCTTGCCACCACCATTGTCATCAGCAAGGTTTTGATAGTTATGCTCGTCATCACCACCGTCACCAACAGCATCATAATACGAATGCATGTCATCAGCATCGTCATCAGCAGCCTCTCGAAACCAATACTCGTCATCACCATCGTCACCAGCACTGTCTTGAAACGCGTGCTGGTCACCACCATGGTCACCGACAGCGCGTTGAGAGTAATTGTTGCCATGGCATCGTCATGGATATCATCTTCAGGCTGACGCATGTCATCAGCATCGCCATCGACAGCATCTTGACGACCATACTCGTCATCACCATTGTCATCGGCACTGTCTTGAAACACATTGTTGGTGCCGCCATCGTCGCCGGCAGCGCCTTCATCACAAGACTCGTCATCATCATCATCATCATCATCATCATCATCATCATCATCACCATCATCATCAGCAACATCATCAGCATCCTGTCCGTAGTTGTTTCCAGGCTCAAGCTTCGAGATAAAACAGCCGTATCGTAGAGCAGACGATGACCCGCGTGCCTCCTATGGGGGAGAGCAAGATAAGCAGCCGTACCGTAGAGCAGATGCTGAGCAACAGCGGCTGGAAGAGTCCAGGGGTGGGGCGGCGCTTGCGCGGCAAGCAGGCGCCGCCCCCCCTGGTCTCGACGCGGGCGCCTATGTCGAAGGAGGAGAAGCGGAGGAAGAACAGAGAGAGCCTGCGGAGGAGCAGAATGAGGAAGGCGAACGCGAAGGCGAAGGCGCAGAACAATCTCATGAACAGCTTTCATCCTGGTCCTTTTCCGCGCGCTCGCGTTCGACGTCTGAGTCGGCGGTCGAGGGTAGCGACCCCTTTTCCTCTTCAGAGTCGGATTCGGAACAGCTTTCGGGGCCCGAGAAGACCAAACATGCATTATCGTGTCTGTACCAGGTTAGGTTCTCAGCATTTCGCGATGGTGGAGGAGGCAGTAGGAGAAACGCACAGCATCCCGCGAGCATCCCCAGGGAAGGCCCAGGATGGGGACCACGGGCAGGACGCAAGAGACCCACGAGGGATTTCTGGACGACAGCCATTAATGAACCCACGACGAACCCAGCAAGACAACATAGGAAACGCTGTGATCAATCATGACAGCGGTTTGCCTCCACGCTGCTTGTGTTTTGGCTCAGAGAAGGGTTGCGCCCAGACAGTCGCGAGCCTGCTTTGTGAGACGTCCCGCGTGTCTCGTTTCCCGCGCGTCTCGCCCGCGTGGCGGTGCCTGCCGACGCCCCCGCGGAGCGGCGTGCGCGCTTAGACGCGGCGGCGGGTAGCGGCGACGTAGACACGCGGGAAGACGACGAGCTGGAGGAATTGTATGCCAGTTGTTTCAAGTTCCAGGTTGCGACGACGGCGGCGAAGACGAAGGCCGCGCTCCTGGAGGAGACGAAGCGGCGATCGACCAGGATTGCAGTTGACTTCGGCGACGATTGGGCGAACATGGACATCGTCAAGAAGGATGCTCTGTCCATCGTCGCTTTGTGCGTCGACTTCGGCATGACCTGAGACCCAGCGAGCGACTTCCTCCTCGCCCGCGTGGTTGGCCTGGTCTGCGGCAGCGAGCTTCGCGCTCACCTCGACGCCGCCTACGAGCTGGACGACGGGGCTTGGCCCGCCATCGACTCGACGCCTCAGCACCTTGTCATCCGCGTGGAGCAGGCGACGACGGCGGCTCAGTTTGCGCAGAGCGACGCAGCGAAGGCAGAGGCGGGGCGCGCGTGGGCGAGCGTCATGGAGAACTTCCAGCAGCGGGCGAACTTCGCACGCGTAGAAGATTCCGAGCTACGCAGCGCGAAGCACTAGGCGATGGCTGCGGCGTGCTCGCTCTCCAACATGCCCTGGCTCTTCGCGAGTGCCGCGAAGGGGTCCGGCGCCTTGAAGGCGCGCGCCGGATTCTACCAGCCGGGCCGCCCCGTCACGGAGCACGCTGCACTATGTTTTGCTAGTGCTTGCGTCAAGATGTCCACTTCCACGTGGGGCGAGCAAGGATCCAGCATGCAGTGCATCCAGAAATCAGCGGGCAACGAATGCTACATCCACGTGAAATGCCGCCTGGACAATGACCTGACCAACAAAGCGCTCGAGGCCCAGCGAAAGAAGTTCAAGATGGCACTGACGACTGCGTTCGCGGGAATCCCCGAGGGCCGCCGCATGGCGCGCGCCAGCGACATCCTCGGCCCTCTAGGGGGGCACGGTGCGGGCGTCTCTGCTTGCGCCGCGCAGGGGGCGGCGTCAATTTCAGATATTTGATTTCAGCCCACCGCCACAACGTCTTCTCGGACGCCCACCTGCACGCCCCTCCGCAACGACGGCAGCGCGTAGCGATTTACTGACGAACGCGTTCTCGGGCGGGGAGTTCCCCGCGAGGCCGAACTACGGCAAGGTCACCTCCTGGTCAACTTGTCAAACGCTGGGTTCGTCGCCGCTGCGGCGGTGGCATGCCGGGCCACTCGGGCCGCGAACAGTGGCGCGCGCTGCTGGCGGAGCTGCAGTGGCGCAAGATGAACGCGCACAAGACGTTGGATTGGGGACGCACGTACTTCGCGCCGTTTGCCGCGTTTGCCGACGCCTACAAACCGCTCCAGTGATTGAACCTACGGGCGATGCGTGTTATACAGTTGCTGCGCTCAGGCGCATGCGGCGTCTTTCATGGATCTTCCAAGGCAAAGCCGCGCCCTTGACTGCGCGGGAGAAGGAACAGAAAACCATGCAGAGAGACAGATAGAGAGAGAGGAGAGAGAGAGAGAGAGAAGAGAGAGAGAGAGAGAGAGAGAGAGAGAGAGAAGAGAGAGAGAGAGGAGAGAGAGAGAGAGAGAGAGAGAGAGGAGAGAGAGAGAGAGAGAGAGAGAGAGAGAGAGAGAGAGAGAGAGAGAGAGAGAGAGAGAGAGAGAGAGAGAGAGAGAGAGAGAGAGAGAGAGAGAGCGAGAGGAGAGAGAAGAGAGAGAGAGAGAGAGAGAGATAGAGAGAGAGAGAGAGAGAGAGAGAGAGAGAGAGAGAGAGAGAGAAGAGAGAGAGAGAGAGAGAGAGATGAGAGAGGAAAGGAGAGATTCCCATAGGTGTTCCGTTTAAAAAAGAACACATCAATTCCACCTGGCCCCCTTTGCGCCCCGAGCCTGCTTCGGCGCCCTGGCGCAGACTACCCTGGTATCCTCTGGCGCGAACGTTTTGAAGCATGCTGAAGTATTGCGACGGGGGTCCTCTTCCTCCTTTTTTTATCATCTGCCTCCTGCTCCTCCTCATGCTCCTCCTCCTCAGCCTCCTCCTCCGTCCTCCTCCTTCCTCCTCCTTCTCCTGTTCCTCCTCCTCCTCCTCCTCCTCCTCCTCCTGCCCCTCCTCCTCCTCCCTGTCCCCCGTAGCCATTTTGGCTCAAGATGCCTTTCGTGCGGGCGGAGCCCGCATTGGCCGAACTGGATGCCGCTGGTCCGCGGCCGTGCCAGGGTGCTTGCGCCCGACATCCTCTCTGCGAGGGCTGGCCCGCCCCAGTCCATCGCCTGCCCCCTTCACTGGGAGAGCAGTCTCCCTCGCATCAGCAATGGGAGGCGGCGGCAAGAAGGGCGGCGTTCGCTCGGCTCCAGCGGCAGGGGCCAAGACGACGTACATCACATGCACTCCCTGCAGATTCCGCTGGAATTTCAAGAACAACCACTGGTGCTACCAGTGCGGAGGCGCCATGGTGCCGAGCCCTTCGGAGGACAAGCGCCCCCGCGGCCAGTGGGTTTGGGGCCCACCGCAGGCGGTCGCGACGCCTCCTCCTGAGGCAGAGCCAGCGGCAGATGCCCCTGCGGCTCCTCCCTGGGCTCAAGCAGGAGGCAAGGGCGCCAAGGGACCACCTTTGCCCCGGCCCGCACCGAAGGCCCAGGCCGTCCAGCGTCGGCCATGAGTCTACCAGCAGGCGGGCTGGGTTCCTCATGGTGGCCGCGAAGGGCAGCAGCAGCAGCAGCAGCAGCCTGCTCAAGCCGCTGATCCCTTCGAGTTCTTCGAGAAGGAGCTCGGCTCGGATTGCGACGAGCTTCTCAAGCTCAAGGCGGCGGTGCAGGCCAAGAAGGAGGCGCAGGCAGCTGCTGCCGGCGCGGGTGCCCCGCAGAAGGCGCCACTCCTTGAGGAGGAAGTGCGGGCCAAAGGAGTGGCTTGCAGGAGGGCGCTGGCATGGCTTGAGACCTGCTCGGCCCGCGTTCTGGAGGGCCAGCAGTGGCTCGCCGACGCCCAGGCCGCAGAGGGCGAGGCGGCCGCCAGCGCCCATGCGGCGCAGCAGGACTGGGAGGCGGCCTGCGCCAAGCAGGTCAAGGCCTCGGCGCCGCCGTCAGCGGCGCCACCCTCTTCTTCGGCGATCAACCTTTCGACGCTCGTCGACGAGGGCTCGCTTCAGATCGTGGACGGGCCGCTGTTCGATCTCTCGGGCCTGGAGCTCGATGAGCAGGCACGCGTGGGCTGGGAGCGCATCAAGCAGGAGCTGGCCGACAGCGTCCAGACCAAGGTCCAGGAAGTCCTCGGTCCCTCGGCGCAGCGCATCCTGGAGCTTCGTGAGGAGGCTCGCAAGCTGCGCGCCAGGGAGGAGGCCAAGCGCAGGCGCGTGGGCGGCAGCGATGCGGCTGGCTCTGCTGCTGGCCCCGCTGCTGCTGCTGCTACTGACGGGGCTGGGCCTGCTGGCGCCGCTGCGGCAACAGGTGCTCCAGCTGGGGCCGAGGCCATGCGCGCTGCTGCCAGAGCCAAGGCCAAGTCGGCCCAGGAGGAGCTCTACGCTCAGCAGGAGGCTGCTTCCACCTCCGCAGAGGCCGCCCCTGGTGCTCCTGGCGCCGCCCCCTCCCCTGCAGCATCACGGGCTCCGTCCACAGCCTAACGCAGATCGAGGGGCGCCACGCCGAGTTTTGTCGGCATGCTGTTTCGGCGGGCGCCCCTGGCCCTACCCAGTCGATTTCTTCCTCGACTCGGATGAGGAGCGCGCTTTTGGAAGCGAGACAGCTACAGCACCGTTGGAGGTGAGCAGTTCGCCGACTGCGGCTCAAGGCTCGGCGGCGCGTGCACCGCAGTCAAGACGTTCATCGCGTTCTGCGTCGCGCGGAGCTACGCCATCCCCGAGTGTGAGGATTTCGGCCACTCGTACTTCTTCGCGCGCATCGGGTCAAGCCTCGCTGACGGGTGCGCTTGGCGGGCTGGCGTATGTTGCCCTTAATGACAGCCCTCCCCCGAGGGCTGCGCCTCGCGCATCTACGGGACCGCAGGCCTCTGTCCCTTCCGTTACGACGGCGCACCTGCACGACGCCGAGCTTGATCCGTTCGAGGATCTGGAGCTTGGGGAGGGCAACGAGCGTTTCCACCAGGACTCGCCGTTCGAGGCGGAGGGAGGCCCCGCCCCACCTGGCGTCGCCGCCAGGCCCTCTGAGGCTAGGGCGGACCAGGCTGCCTCTTGCGGCGACCCGACGGGCCTTGAGGCTGACCGCAGCGCACCAGCAGCGCAGGCTTTGGCCGCTCCAGCCCCCTCCAAGCTCATATCCGACGAGAAAGATTTTTCGATCCTTTACGGTAACATCACTGAGTGGGGGCCTCAAGCGCAGCGTTATGTCAACACAGCCCCTTACTCTGTGTTTTGTCTGGTGGAGACTCATGTCACCGCCGCCACGTTCCACTCCAAGACGGAGATCGAACTGGACAAAGACGGTTGGAAGGTCTGCGCCACAGGGAGCACACTCCAACAGGACGAGGAGGTTCGTCTGGCGGTGAATGGGTCATGGCCAAGAAGCATCTGGCTACCGCCTCGCTGCAGGCCATTCGGCAATATGCACAAGCTGCACGCCAACCTGATCCTATGCGCGGGTTCGCCGCCATGATCCTGCATTTGTCCTCGGGCAATCTGGTCTTGGTATCAGTTTATCTTTGGCCAGGATTGGGAGTTTCTGGCAGAAATCGTCAGGTGCTGGTTGCGTTAGCTTCTTTCCTTCATGGGCTTGCAGACCCTTGGTTGGTTATCGGCGACTTGAATATTTCACCAACTTCATTGCAAGGATCTGGGTGGCCTGATAAAATTGGGGGCGCGCTCATTCTACCTGCTGACGTCAGCACCACGTGCGATAAAGGGCAGGAGGGCTCCCTCATTGATTTCGCAATGGCCAAGTACGGAACATCTTCCAGATACCGAGTTCGGTCGCAGCCTCAGGTCCCGTGGAAGACGCATTGTGCACTGCAGGTTGACGTCCACGATGGCATGCGCAGATGGTGGTACCAGACACTTTTGTTACCTGAACCGTTTCCAAAGGTAGCCAGACCCAAGCTCGCTTCGGATCCTAGCAGCAAGGGGTCTATACTTCGAGCTCAACGGCAAGAGCAAGAACGGGCACGCGTACCACCCGATCTGTTGGAGGACTACGATGCACTACACCCCTCAAGGAGCACGTTGGATCCTGGGTCCCAGGTCTCTTTTCACATTCCTTCAGACCTGTGGGAAGAGCAGCCCTCCATGGAGAGGCTCAGTTCTCAATGTTGCAGTGTGGTCGAGTCTGAGTTGTTGGGCCATATCAACGCACTTGGCCTTGGTGCCGTCACCAGACAGTACGCGCGGTGGTCCTCAGGAGTGGAACGTGCTTTCGCACTTCATCATCAACTCGACCTTCGACAACGGGCTCCACGCGCAGCTGGATTTTCTTTACAATGGATGCAGACCAGAGCTACCCCAGGGCGAGTGCACATGACTGATGGAGCTGGAGAATGGTGGGGAACTGTTCTCACCTTGGTTCAAAGAATCATGGCTCTTCTACGACATGGCAAGGATCCTCGCCAGATAGCGATTTGCACCGCAGCTCTTGGTCGCTACACTAACGACGCTAGCAGCTTCGACCCATCGGATTTCTTTGGTCCAGGCTCTGAGGGCACCGCTAATCAGCAGCGGTGGATCTCCTGGTCGCGCGCATTCGCTAGCGCCACTGAGATGGAGCGCGACGATTTTGCTGACTTAACTGAGAAGCTGGCCTGTCGTTCCCAGGCAAGGTGTTTGACCTTGAGGCGGCATGCGTTCATCCGCTGGGCCAAGGGAGTTTGGACGTCTAAGCCAGGACTGCTCCACTCATTGGTGAAGGAACCCAAGGCGGTCTCTTCTGACCCCTTAGTGGATGGGCGAGTCGTTGGAGACCCAACTATCAGGATGGAACACACCAGATCCACCTGGGAGAGACTCTGGCACGACCCAGTCGACTCTCAGGCCGACATCCTCGCCATGTTCAAGCGCTTGCACGCGCAAAGCCGCGAGGAGGAGCTGGATCCAGTCAGCATCGAGCAGGTGGACAATGTTATCAGGGTTTTAGGCACCAAGGCATGCGGAGTTGACTCCATCACACCGCTGGACATCCAGCGGCTCCCACTCGAAGGTCGGTGTGATTACTGCAGGCTTCTCAACAGTATTGAAGAACATGGAGTGTGGCCTGCTCAGATCTTGGCATCTATTGGAGCATTATTACCCAAACCCAAAGGAGGAGAGAGGGTCATTGGATTACTTCCAGAGACGGCAAAGATATGGTCCCGCGTGAGAGCAGGCGTCACGTCCACATGGACTAAGGAGCTTTCTGATTTCTGGGACACTGCAGTGGCGGGCAGCAGCTCGCTTCGAGCAGGTCTCTTGCGAGCGCTGCTCGATGAATCCGCAGTGGCGCTTGGCATCTCGGCGGCGACCCTTCTCCTGGACTCCGAGAAGTTCTACGACTCGTTGTCCTGGATCCTCACCGGCCAGGCTGCACTCGATCTCAAGTTCCCAGCGATTGTGGTGTTACTGGAGTTGGAGATGTGTGCTGGGCCGCGGTTCCTGCGTGGCTCTCTCGGCGTTGCAGACGCCATCTACGCCACCAGGTCACTTGTTGCAGGATCCCCGCATGGGGTAAGGATTGCCAAGTTGTTTTTACACCCATTGATGGAGGCGGCACATCGCAGAGCGAGTTTCAGCACCTTCTGGACATTCATCGATGACACTGTGGCCCGCGCAGAGGGCACGCAGGCCAAGGTCCAGACAGAGATCCTTCACGCCACGGTCACTCTGGCCGACCTCGCCAAGCAATTCCGTCTCAAGCTTTCGGACAAGTCTGTGCTCATTGCCACCGTTCCGCAGGGCGGGAGGAGGACAGCTGCTCAATTGCAGAAGCGTGGTATCCCTGTACGGTTCGGTCTTCACGGCACGGATCTTGGCATCGATGCAGCTTCTGGCAAACGGCGCACAGTCGCTAAGGCCAGAATGAGGTTGACTGCCAGCAAGAGGAGGGCGGCTCGCATTGGCCGCATACGCAGACATGCTCCTCTACGGCGCGAAGCTCAGGGTCTTTGGACCACAGGCGCAGCTCCTCAAGGCTCCTACGGACACCAGGCCCAAGGCATGTCGCCGTCCAACGTCCTCGCCGTCAGGCGGCAGGCAGCCTTGGCGGGAGCTGGGCCCATGAAGGGCAGGTGTCTTACGACAACACTGGCGGTCCTCTACGGTCTCAAGGATCCAGCCCTGGAGTTACGTCGAGGCCTTCTTTCAGAGTTTCTCTGCCTCTGGAAGACCGACACCAGCATCCACCATCGAGTTGAAAATGCTTGGACTGTCATCCATCGGCGGCTTCTCGCAGTTGGCGCCAGCAAAAGATGGAGACTGGTCAAAGGACCTATTGGAGCTGTTATTGCGACGTTGCTTGACGCGGGATGGGAAGCACCCTCGGTTCTACGTTGGAGGAGGCCCACTGTCGGAGGAATCGAGGAGTGGCTGATCCCAACCGCACGACGTGCAGGCTACGACCCCACTGGGTTCGATATCTCCGAGCTGCTGGACGACGTGGTCACTGATTTTCGCGCTCAGCTTTGGAGCAATGCGTCGAAGCACATGGCAGGTGATGGCCCGGCTGAGGGAGCTGACCTCTATTGGGCCAGGCTGGAGCTCAGCCACTTCGCCAAGAAGGGGGAGCTCGACCTGTTCGGCCTCAATTTGTGCGTGGTCACGGGCGCCCAGTGGACGATGGACAGGCAGCACCCTCTGAGTGAGCCCGCTGACCGCCTGTGTCCGCGATGCCAGCAGGAGGAAGAAACTCTTGCGCATCGCATTTGGCGTTGCCCCTGCAATAAAGATCCCAGTGATTTCACGTCTACTGATCATTTGATTCCGCAAGCGTTAGCGTCTGTTGAATCTGAACCAAGCCTTTGGCTCAGAGGTGTTCCGCCTACCCGTGTCACCCACCCTGTTTTCAGGGAGCCGTTGGAGAGCCTGAGCAGAGCCCAACTTGGTGAGGTCCCTCTCGGAGCCTGCTCTAGAGACCCTGGCAGCAGCCCGTTGATCGGCTTCGGGGACGGATCTGGAGGACGCTTTTCGTCCGACCCTCGTCGCCGTCGTTGCGGCTCCGCTGTGGTTGTGGTCAGGGACGCGCGACCTGGGGAGGGACCTTTGCGTTGGGCCGTCTTGGGGGGCATCTCCGAGATTTTGCGAGGCCCCTCGCAAACGGTGCCCAGGTCGGAGCTGCAGGCTTTCGCACTCTTTCTGGAAAACACCACTGGTCCTGTCCATTTTGTGACGGACCACAAGCCTCTCATGACGGGGTGGAGTCGGGGCCGACCTTAGAGCTTGGGGGGGAGGAACAGCGATTTGTGGCTGCGAATTCGTTGCGCCATCGACGACCGAGGCCCAGGGCATGTCTCGGTCGAATGGACGCCCTCGCACCTGTCCCCTGACGACTCCTCCCTCTCCCATTACGAAGCATTTCTTGCCAGTGGTAATCAGTTAGCCGATGAAGCGGCTTCTGAAGCCGCTGAGCGCTCATGGACTTTGGCCGCCCAGGTTGTCCCCGCCACAGACGCCTGGGACCTCACCGCTGCACTGGTGCGTCGAAGGGCTCGGCGGGCTCTGGCGGACGCCTCTTCGGCGGACCCCAAGCGGTCCAAGGCCCCGACGGAGGTCGAGCGGCCCAGGCCGAAGACCGCCGAGACCCGACGCCTCGAGCACGCGGCCAGGGCCAGCTCTCACAGATTTATACCTGTCGGGTCCCGTTTCAGGTGCCAACTGTGCTCTGTTCTTTCGTCCCGACAGGGCCTCTTAGAGGCCCTGAAGACGGAGTGCTTTTCGCCGCTGGTCGTCCCTCCTGGTTTTCCTCGGGACGTGGTGGCCGCGGCTCGTTGTGGCGTCGCTGTTGGTGGGCTGGAGCTCGACCCCTCC